TAAAAGGGACATGGGTAAACTTCCAGCTCAAACCGTGGTAAACCCAAAAGGGTAATTTTTGATTGATGAACTCCCTCTTCCAAGTGGACCATATCATTAACAAGTCCATATAATCACCACACTTTGGAGTGGAAGAGTTGTGGATAATAAGGTTGGGGAAGAGACAGAAATTCTTACTCCCAATGATTCAAGTCCTTCACCGAAAAGTTTAAAAATCAGTCCGAAAATTCCAAATCCACCAATCCCAAGTGTTGAGATATCTTATGAGCCTAAGGCTCCCTATCCTCAACGTCTTAAAGAGTCCACATACTTTGGGAACAAGGGCGATAAAATTCAAGATATGTTGGAAGTTTTTAGGTAAGTAAATATCAACATTCATCTTCTTGATGCCATCAAGCAAATTCCACCATATGCTAAATTTCTCAAGGATTTGTATACTCAAAAACTCATTTCCATGAGCAATATTCCAAAGAAGGTAAGGTTAACTGAACTGGTGAGTGCTATCATTCAGTATAATACGCCTCCAAAGTTTAAGGATCTGGGTGCCCTAACAATTTCGTGTGTCATTGGAGACGAGATAAAAAATGCCCTCCTTGACTTAGGAGTGAGTGTAAATCTGATCCCTTATTCAGTTTACTTGCAACTTGGCTTGGGAGAACTCAAACTCACTTCGGTTGTTTTGTAACTTGCGAACAGATCCATCAAGCAACCTCATGGTATCATTGAGGATGTAATCATTAAGGTGGACAAGTTCTACTTCCTGGTAGACTTCTTAGTTCTAGATACTGAACCGGTCCACAATCCCAAAAGACACATTCCCGTGATCCTTGGTCAACCCTTTTTAGCCATAGTTGATGCTTCAATTAATTATCGAACTAGGGTGATGGATATTTCTTTTGGAAACATGAAAGTTAAGCTTAACATCTTCAATGCATCTCAATATCCTTTGGATGAAAATGAATGTTTTCCCTTGACACATCGGATGAAGTGGTCGAAGAATTTCTCCCATTCATTCCAAGTCAAGATGTCCTCGAACTCAAAATTCATGATAAATCTGAAGAGGTTGTTGTCAAAGAATCTAGTTGGAAAGTGAATTCAAAACTTAATAATTATCCAACTTTTTTGTCTTCTCGGTAGGCACCACAAGTGAATCCTTCTCTTGGGAAAATGAATTTCCTCTCACTACTCTATTCAAATCCCTGAACTTTGAATTTGAACCACTGAATATATGTGAGAAAGGTAATGACCCTCTCATGGATGTTTAAGGGTCGAATTTTGAAGGAACCTCGACATTATCTCAAAAGCAACCTGATAGCTTGAGTTTAAAAATGAAAAATCTTAGGTTGTGGGATGTACTTGAATCTCTTAGGACCAAACTTGCTTATTTCATCCCTTCACCGGGTTTTGATCCGAGTTTGCGACCCTATAAAGAAGACAAGTTGTGCCATGGAAATGTGGAAACTGTCCTCTTGACGGATCCAATTTATGAGGACTAATGAGATTCCTGTCTCGTCAAGCTATCAACGTTAAATTTAGCCACTCTTAGGGAGCATCAAGCTTCCTAATCTTTTCTTCTCTCTTCTTCTTGTTCTAAAAAATAAAATAAAATTGCCTAAATATGAACCTCAAATTTAGCGCTTTCACAAAAGTGCTCCAAATCTCATTCCGTTGGTCATACTAAGTGTCTGGGGCATCAAATAGGCTCTACTGAAAATTTCAGAATTTTTCGGGTTTGTCTTGGGCTCCAAATAAAAAATAAAAAATAAAAAATAAAAAAAAAAAAAGAAAAAGAAAATAGTAATCTACTAAATTTTCGTCTGGACACCCCACTTGGAGTCCGGACGCCAAGCTATCTAGGTTAAAAAAAAAAAAAAAAATTTCCAAACCCAAAAATTTTATTTTTCACAGAACATGTCCGTTTTCGATTCCAACTATTCTAAAAGGTGTCTCAGTTGTATATCATTATGTCCAAGTGTTCCCGAAATTTTTAGATTTCGTCACGGCTTCCAAAATGGCTAGAATAAAAATCCAGCCAGCAGCCAAATTTTTGTCCGGACGCTCCACCAGTGCCACATCCCTTGTCATAACAAGGCCAAGGCAACACACACCGCGCGCCTTGGCACTTGGCGCTCGGACGATGCCCGATGACGCTAGAGCCTAGATTTTGGCCAAAACCACCTTCTTCTATTTATTTTCACCCAATCTCATACTTCTTCTTCTATTCTCTCTATATTTCGATCGTCACTCTCTCCCAAACAAATTTTTATCACTCTTCTCCTCCCATTCCATCTTCCCATCATCTCCATTCTCCATTCTTTCTACAAATCAAAGGTTCAATCTCTCCATTGTCAAAAGTTCAAGCTTCATCCTCTTCATTGTGGTTAAGTTTTCTTCTCTTCTCTTTTAATTCTTCCAAGCTAAATATTGCATGAAGAGGAAGGGAATTCTTGTTATGGATTGTTAAGTTGTCTTGGGATTAGGGGGATCTTAATTCATATGCCATTTTTGTGGGTTTTTAAGCTTCATGCCATATTCTTGCTCTAGGTAGCTTGACATCATCCACCAACCGTTCGTAGAAATTCCTCAACCAACTTCCCTCTCTCAAATGGCACCCAAAGTTGGATCAAAGCAGGCTAGCTCATCTAAGAGGCGTTCATTCCCAATTGGAGTGAATAGCCCCTCGACTTCGAGACAAGATTCACTATCAAGGATGACTTCAAAAGGCATCCCGAAACGGCTTGGGCAATTAAAAATCTTAAGGACCGTGGCCTCTCTTCTCTCTGCAAACTGTGTCATCATGTGGCCTATCCTAGGTTGGTTCGTCAGTTTTACCAAAATATTTCCTACAATTGTGAGACACCAACCATGCTTACTACTACTCTTGATGGCACCACCTTGACCTTTACATTAGAGGATGTTGCCTTTGCTTGTGGCTACCCCATCAACTCCCCAGTTGATGCGAATGGGCAGCCTATTTACGGTCCATTTCCAGAGCTTGTTGGTCTAGAGGACATTGTGAGGCAAATTTGCCATAACAAATACACGAACAAGAAGAACAGCTCTACTAGCAAGTCCTACTTGCCATGTAGAATTTGGTTCATCGAGTCCGTATTGGCTGAAAATGTCTTTGCAATAAGCCATCATACGGAGTGACGGGGTAAATTCCTGAAAGCTCTATACTCAGCTGAAACAGGTTCATGGTTCTCAGTCCCTGCTCTAATTTGGGACCAAATTATGAGAGTATACACAGAATTAATCGTGCAGTATATTGATAAATCTTTGACTTGGTCCTTCCCATTCACGTACCTAATTTCCAAGATAATCAAGAACAAACATTTTGCTATTCCACGCAAAAAGCCACGTTCAACAAAGAAGGTAGAATATACGCTCACGGAGTGGAAGAAGAGCACGATCCAATTGAAAAATTCTAGGCGGCTGAAGATTGGGGGTGAGCTAGATTGGGGAGATGTAGAAGGCTTAGAGATTGACTCCTGTGGAAGAGGCACCTACGCCTCCTGTTGGTTCACCTCCACCCGCAATGGCACGGGATGACTACAACTCTTTGAGCACTCGCATGGACACTCTCCAGTTGCGAGTCGATGTTATTGGATGTTCGCTTGACACGTACCATCAGTAGACCATGGAGGAGCACCAGATTTTGGGTGCTATGATTCAGTCACTCATTGACCGTGGCGGTGCGGGTCTATCTTCATACACACCGATGGAGGATTGAGCATCTTTATGTTCTTTTTGCTTTATATTAAATGTTATTTACCTTGTTTTGTTTGGATATTTTATTTCGGGCCATGTTTGGCATGACATATGTGGGTGCACCTTTTATATGCACAAATTTTGATATCTTTCCAGGTTTTTGAATAAAAGCATGACGTTTTATTCCAGATTTATATTCATGTCTATGTCCATGTTTTTATGCTTGGTACCCAGTGTAATGTTGACAAATTATTAGGTACAAGTTTGGGGGAGGACACTTGGCATCTCTTATGAATTGGATGCGTAGCATGCATGTTTTAACACTAGGTAGTATTGCTTCCTTTCATCCTTTTCGTATGCTTCATTTTGTACTTGTTTTCATACATTGAGTACAATGTATCGTTTAAGTTTGGGGGTGTTTGGGGTGTAACCATTTATATGCTTGATGTTGTATAGTTCATTGCCAATGTGAATATTGAAAAAAATATAGAAAAATTCTGAAAATAAAAATATATATATATAGGCAAATGATTTCTTGTTCATTGCCATTGGACTGCCACTTTGATGTGCCAACGGGACATTATGATGAAATAAAAAAAAAAAAAAATCATACTAATGGACTCTGTTTTTGTTATTCCGAGATTGAATTATGGCTGTGATTTTATTAACCAACTCAATACATTCCTGCTCTCTAAGTCAACCAAAATTAATAGGAACACTAAGTATTGCTAGAACCACATGATAAGTTGCTGAAACAATTTATTAAGAAATTGAGTTCCACTGATATGCTAGATATTGGTTGATATTCAGTCTGTATTAAGAAATTTGTTATCTTTATTGGTTTCTTCATTTGTTGCATGACTGAAAGCACATAATGTCCGGCATGATATCTAATGTATAGGGAAGAATCATGACACCAAACGACTAAAGATGGAAGAGCATGACAATTTCTTTGGTGAGGGAGTCTACAATTGTGCAGGATGCAACTACAAGAAAAATGGCCTTTTACTACGGGCAAAAAAGCATTATAACACGGTTTTTGCCCGTAGTAGTTTCCCCTGTAGTCTTTTCTGGATGATTTCTACTACGGGCCATGCCCGCAGTAGAAAGTTCCTTTTATTCTACGAGTTTGGCCCGCGTATTGCCCGTAGTAGAAAGTTCATTTTATACCACGGGCATGACCCAGGTATTGCCCGTTGCCACGGGGCATGGCCCGTGGTAGAAAGTTTGTTTTGTACCACGGGGCATGGCCCGTGGTAGAAAGTTTATTTTGTAGAAAGGTCCTTTTATTATTGTGGTATAAAGTGTGTGTATATATATATATATATATTAAATTGGTAACTTGACATCCAACAACATATATCACTCATATGCTACTCCATATACACAACCAAATTACAACCAAAACCATATATATACAACGATCACCAAAAATTAATTCCATACAGTCATTAAATAATTTGAATTACAAAGTTTCCATCATTGTTAAAAAAAAAAAAAAAAAAAAAGAACAGTCGCCAAAAATTAATCCAAAACATTCATTGAATAACTTGGAGTACAAAGTCTCCATCATTGTTAAAAAAAAGAAAACCAAGTGCTAACAAAAGATTGCAAAAAGAAGTAACACAACCACGCTTGCCCAACCATCTTTATTCACTGTACAAGGCGTAGAAAGAAACTAAATCCAACCATTACATTTTTCCCTATCACATAAAAAAGTAACCTCTTAGAAAATAACAAATGTGCAACTCATATATTCAAATAAAAAAAACTCATGCCCGAAGTGTGGTATGCTTTACTAAAGAGAAAGAGGGTTTAGGATTGAAAAGGCTCTCCCACATAAAAAAAAAAAAAACTCATTTATGCAAGAAAATATATTACTTCAAAATAAAAAGTAAATGACAAAGGGGAGAAGAACTTGAAATGTCAATTTACCAAAAGCAAGATATAAAGGCCCACCAATCCACTGCACTAGTATGGTCTGCTCCAAATTTCCTACACATATTAAAAAAAAAAAAAAAAAAAAAAAAAAAAAGAATGAGACATACTTAATTGAAAAACATTTGAGAAAGAAAGCAAAGCATAACAAATATTTCCTTTATAATAGCTAACATGTTGCTACGAAACTTACAAAATTTGATAAACTTGATAGGCCATGCAGTTTTATATCCAATAACATCTTTCAAATGCTCATATGGAGGCTGAGCCCTATACAAGGGTAAATCGTTATCAAAGACTTCATTGATCCACACTTGCTAACAATCGGAACCAATAGTAGCATGACCTAAGAATTCATCAGGATTTGTTTCAAAAACTTCACCCTCAGCAACAATTGATCCTCTTCCATTATAATGCAATAACTCACACCTCTTCCCGGCCATATTTTTTATAGGTGAGACTTGAGGTGGAGCATTGGGAAAAGACTGGTTGTTAGCATTCTGTGCCTACCACAATATTGAAAAAAAGAGAGTAAATAACGATTTCCTAATTAAACATTAGTATTTTTAATTAGAGAGATTGCATCAAATTTATAGAAATTACTTACAAACATCGATTGAAGCACTTGCATTTGTTTTAGCATTTCCTCTTGCCTTTGCAATTTTTGTTGCATCTCATTTCAGCCTCCCCAATCGCCTCCATCTCTATTCTCGTTCTCAACTCTGAACTTGCCCTCTCTTTGTCTCTCTGCAACTGCAAACTACAAAATCTACAAGAATCAGAAGTTCAAAACCCATTTATTTCAGTTTATCTATCTATATGCAATAATGAAAATTTCAAAACCTATTACCTATATCAAAACCTATATCAGCATATTATTTCAAATTGTTCAAAAAATCAAAACCCATATCTTTCAGTTTCCATCGCCGCTGTTCTAGTTCGGATTTGCCATTCGCAAGCTTCAGCCGCTGGTCCGCTGTCTCTCAACTCTCATGCTTGCCCCCCTCTCTCTCTCCGACTGCTAACTTGTATGTATTAGTTTTGTTCTAAATTTTTTTCTAAATCAACTAATCAAGGTCTGTAATTCTTGTTTTGCAAACTAAATCCTATTTGGTGAAATTTTTTATGATCTTTTTCATATATATATATATTTACAATATAAAGTAAAAAAATTTACATTGCATTTTGAGGTGACCACCATAATCTACATTTTATTTCAGCAAAACAAATATATATTTTTTATTTCTATAACTTCTATTTCTGTTTTTTTTTTTTTTCCATCAATTATGTCTACAAAAAAATTTGAATCTGGGCATAAAGAAAAAAAAAAATTTCTGAATTGGATTAGAAATTTGTAGGGATTGAATCTGAAACAATTTTTATCAACATGCCAAGCTTTTAGAAGATGTAAATCTTTTCAGAACTAAAAAAAAAAAAAAATCATAACAAGGTAAAGCTCTAAAGTTACTTCTTCAAAATTAAAATACTTCCAAAAAGCATGCTTTTGAGTGAATTCCATAGTATTGGAAGGGGCTTGCCATGAACTACCTCACACTCTGTGACGGCCCAAGTTTTTCAACCCGGTGCGTCAGTGATGAACCGAAAGATGACCCGATAACGGATCCGAAATGCGGAACCAAAAGACAAACAACGGTCTCTAGAAATACAACATGACTCTAAGACGCCAATGTGACCCTCAACGAGGTCACGGAACCCAAAGGAATCAAATGCGAAAGCAACGTTTCAAAAACGGACAAGAATGAACCTAAGGGCAAAAACGTAATTTCTAGCTTAAAAGTGGGTACCACCGAGCACACCATTAGAAAGACAACGAAAAATTAATGAATTTAGACTCAAGAATCACTTGATTCGGAGTCCGGATGAAGAAAATATGGCTAACGGCAGAAGAAGGGGCAAAACGGTCAAAAAGTGCAAACCTTAGATCATCTAACCGGTTAGGAGACCTTCCTAACCGGTTAGGAGGCCAAAAATCACGAGAAATACACTGCCCACACTCATCTAACCGGTTACGAGACCCCATCTAAACGTTTAGATGTGAAGGGGCAATAAGGATGCGACCCAAAAACCTGGCAGCAGGGGTTTTTAAAAAAAAAATGGAAATTTGAGGGGCCTAGATGACATTTTCTGGAAAAACACAAAGAAGAAACCCCCCTCAAAATCGAGTTTTCTACGTGACTGTCAATGAAAATCGAACAATACACACTGTGAAATGCCCAAAATTCCCTCCCAAGAAAACTAGTTAAGAGGATCCAAAAAGCTGCTAAATTTAAAAACTGAGAGCTGAACTTCGGGATCGATTTCCGATGCCAAGACGACATTTTATGGAAAAACACGAAGAAGAAACCCCCCCTAAAAATCACATTTTCTAAGTGAGCATGTAAAGAACGGCATTTATTTTTCAAAAAAAATTCCCAAAATACCCTTAGGTCAGAATATGCAACAAAAGTGTAAAATGAGTCCGTAGGAGGCTCATTTCACCAAAGAAAAAGCTTTGCCCGGAAACGACCATGCACGCAAATGTAACTTACCTAATAAGATGTGCTACAATGGTCCAAGGCTCAAAAATATGGCCGATATAAAATATGACCCCCCAACGGCCAAAATGACAAAATGAAGTTTGGAATGAAAACTTGAAACCTAAAATCATGAAATGATTTCGAAATGCCGTTTTGGCCTTGGCCATAGTTCATGCATGTTAAATGAATGCTAATGGAAGAAGTTCATACACAATGCACGCTCCGGTACAAAATAGTATACTAAAACGCATGGTTTTCCATATGTTCTCATTGAAGGCAAAAATTAACATCTATGACATAAATGTAATTTCAAAAGGAGTTTGGCCATTGGCCTCATGTCATATACATAAAATGAGAATCAAAAAGTGTGCTTAGGCACACATTACAAGTCTAGTAGCAAATATACACATTTGACATACAAGGTTACAAATGGCTTTTCAAGCCAACCTTCACAAGAATTGAACCCTTCAAGTTCCCAAATCATCCAAGCATGGTGAGAATCTCTAACCTTGAATCCTGTACCTAAAATATGCCCCAGTATCGTAGGGGTGAGTTACATAAAGCTACTCGTACGAAATGAGCATGCATCGACCTACGTTTTATAAGTTTGCATGATTAATTATTGTGGTTCATTCCACCTAACGTCTATGTCAAAGGTGAGACTCAAGGAGCATCTTAGCTACCTAAGATCATTTCTAGCATCAATCACTTCATTCATGTAATTATAGCAACATAGGGTCATGCTTACACAAAGCAACAACATAGGAACATGCTTACACAAAGCAACTAACATAGATTCTCAAAGTCATCAATTTGAAATCTAAAAAACGAAAACGACATAAGTGATCATGCCACCTAACGTCTATGTTCCAAATGAATCTATAGAATCATTCCTACTTTACATTTGAACAACACAACATGAATGTACTTGACAACATCAAAAGCTTATAATGATTCATTAAAATCATAAAACAAGAATGTACTTAACAACATTAAAAGCTCACAATGATTTATTAAAAACCATGAACATGAATGTACTTAACAACATTAAAATGATTTATTAAAATCATAAAACATAGATGTACTTGGCAACATCAAAATCTACAAAGATCATAAAGCATGGATGTACTTAACAATATCAAAATCCCCAATAACCAAAACCACAAGTCACAATATAAACATGATTGCTAACTTGAAATTGAATGCGAAAATAAATAATGGAAGACTTAGACATCTAGACTCGGAATTCTGCCGAGATCAATGGTTGTTCCGGGCACTAACCCGCAGGGAAAACCACCCTAAGTGCGCACTATCTCAATTGGGGAGAATTCATACCTCCCGCACTAAAGCCGAACTTTAGCCATATCATAATAACCATGTCCCAAGTGACTCCAAAATAAATAAATTAACAACTTATATATATACGAAACCACATCCCATGCACAAGTAGTTTGTAACCACATAATACATGCTCTAAATTCACAACTACTATAGGATGACAAATGTCGAATCTTCAGAGCGCGATTCGTTACGCGCTATAATAACATCACATGTCGAATCTTCAGTGTGCGATTCGTTACACGCTATAACAAGATAATCTAATATTAAAACGTAATCTCATAAATTCATTATAAGTCTAAAATCATGCTTTAGACATACAATCAACGTCAAACACATGATTTAAATCCATAATGCAATAGAAATGGAATTTAATCAAGCAACTAATTAATTCCTCTAAGTTGCAATTTTCAACCAAATGGCCTCAAATTACACATGTTAAACAACATAGCATGGTCATTGCATATACCAATTCCAAAACTTGATTAGGCCAATTGAATAACAAAATGGAATTTAATTAAATCATGATAATCAAATTCCTAAATTCTAAAACAACATAAAATGGTCCCATATTAACATATACTAGTATACAAGTCCTAGTCATCTCAAATATCAAGTCAAAACTTAATTAAACTAAATGAACCATTAAATAGATTTTAATTAATCATTTTAATTGACGTCTCTTAATTAAAGTCTCTAAATTTTCATAATTATCCAAATGATCTCAAATTTAAGTATGTTAAACAACATGCCTAGACTTAATTTAAAAGCATGCTACAAGTCAATTTCATGCAAGGTACATCCATGTAAATTTAATCATTTACAAAGAATTAAATATTACTAATTTTCTAGATTTGATAAAAGTCATGCAATCAAGTTGTAAAATCATGGAAAACACCCCATACAACACATACAAAATCCTAAAATATCCCCTACCTCCATTTGAAATGAAATCTCAAATCCCCACCGAAATGAAACGGCTCCGAATCCGACGAAACTTTAGGGTTTTGTCGGGAACAACACGATCTACATGAAGCCCCATGAAAATCCAAACTTGACCTCAATTCCGAACTCAAAATTTGGTCAGAAATGGTTTCTAATAAGGGGGAAAGGTGCACGACGTCAAGGCAAGCATTAAACGTTAAGGCCGAAGACTTTTCACCAAAGAAAAGTGGATCAAAGGAGGAGAGAGAAAGTGGCAGCCATGGGAGGGACCTTGGCCGGCCATGGGAGAGGAAGAAGAAGAAGAAATCTGATTTTTTTGTTCTTAAGTCCCATATTTATAGTAAGTCTCAAAAAGTGCCCCGAAAGGGCCCCGCCGGGTCCAGAAAAGTGGATTTTGAGCAAACGCACTCAAACAGCGAAATTCCATGAACAAAAAAGATTCAAAATGAGAAAATATGAACGAAAGAAACGGCGTCAAAAACCGAGTCCCGAGCAGAGAGTTATGCCCCAAACAAGTTTGGCACAAACCGGGGCCAGAAACCCTGAAACTGGAAAACATCGACCAGGAAGAAATTCTAAGAGTTCACGACTCGACGAAATGTGAAAATGAATCCCGTACGAGGATCCAGGCTCAAAACAAGGCATTTAGCAATAACTTTCATTAATTGCACAATGCCCCTCCAAAAAGTGAAAACTGCGAAACTACCCTAGAATGAAAATATCTTCCAAAAGATATTTTCTTAGATGCCCCTGAATAAAATATCTTCAAAAGATATTTACGAAAAACACCTCAAGAAATGAAAAAAGTTCTGAAGAATTGTGCATCCATACCCCTATGGACACCGGGGACAATCAGAATATTTTCTTGCAAAAGTGAAGATACATATTTCGAGGAAACCACTGAAGATGAAGACATGTGAAGTCAAAAACTAACTCCGAGCATGAAAAGTGAGGTTGCGCCAAAAACTGACAAACAGAGATAAGACAGAATAAGAAAAAGACGAAATAACGCATAGTGTCCGAAAAGTGAAAATGCAAAAATGACTCGGTCCTCAAAGGAAGTTGTCAATCCACAGAAAAGAGTCTCGGAATCACTCCAGAGCACTCGAGACGACACTAATCAACAAGAAACCAAACTCAGAAGGAAAAAGATAACGAAAAAAATTTATCCGAAAAATTCGGGTCATTACACACTCTGCTTCCACTAGTAGATCCTCAAATAGGATTAGTAAATTGGTCAAAAGAAGAGATAGGGTACTGAGTGGTGAATTGTTCAGAAATAAATTGGTAATTTTTTTAATCAATTACCCGAATAGGATTTTCTATGCCTTAATCAGTCAATTGTCTAAAGAAACATTGTTAATTAACTAAAATTGAATTACACAATAGTTGATTTTGGTTGATATATTTTGATTTAGCCCACCCCATTAAGAAATCCTGGATCCGCCCTTGCCCACAGGTAACAAACACATTCGTCCACTGAAGTAAAGGTAGACTGATGTTTATCACTTAAAATATATCTAAAGGAAGAAAAGCCCGTCAAATTGTGTCCGGTCCAACTTGTCAGCTAGCATACCGTCATTTTAACTAGCAAAATTGCTTAGGAAGGGGTTATTGGCACAATTCAAATGCATATATGTTCGCTCGTCGCGCATATGAGATAAAAGGAATATGGATGTAAGATGACAGGGGCAGATGAAGCTTTTAGAGTGTAAAAAAGAAAACAAAAAGGAAATTGCTGAAGTTAAGAGAACCAAATTTATAAAGAAAAACATGACATGTATAAATTTGTATGTATATGCACAGAAAAAATTGCATAAACAGCAGAAACTACTTCATACCAGAACTAGTTTTTAAATAACAAATGTGGAATGCCAAAATAACACAAGCCATGCCGCACTAAACTATGCTTTAATCACACAACCGTGGTACCATTCCCTTTATTGGTATACTCCATGTCACGAGTGAGTGACACATTGCCAGCAGCAACAGAAGGGCTTGCTGCTGTGGCAGGAAGGAAAGTGGAAGGTTGATACTTAATGTTCAATAACAGGGGTTGCGGGCAAAGATTGTATATCAGATTGCAACAAATCGAACAAAGATTGTAAATCATTTAGAAAGAATGACAATGAGAATTCAAATTCAAAAACAGTTTAGTTCAAATCAAATTCATATGTGCCCGTGAATAAAGATATGGTGTAAAGAGGGCAAATTATCAAAGAAATTGAAAAACAATTTAAATATATAAATAGATATAGATATATATATATACATATATATATATATATATGTATATTTATAGAGAGAGAAAGCGAGAGAGAGGGGTACATGGGAGAAGAGGAATCTCGGGATGAAGGGGATCGACGCAGACGACGACTTTGGCGACGGGCTGACAAGAAGGTTCGCCTTTGCGCTATAAGCTTCGGGATGCCAGAGTTATTCGTCTATTTGGGCTTCTGGATTTCAGTAATTTTCCTTGTTGACGTGCTCTGCTGCAGATAGTTGGGCTAGAGATGGGGATTGATCCGCAGCTTGGTACCGGGTGGAACAGATTCATTGGAAAGAAGACAGCCTCTATACAAGAAAGAAGGACAAGAAGAATCGGCGGCGGAGGAGTAGGATTTCGGCACAACCTAACACACCAATGAGAGAGAAAACTAGGGCTTGATCAGAAAGAGAAGTTTTTGGTTCTTCAGCTTATGGTATATGATATATACTTAATCTATAAAAAAATTTAAAACTACCGCTCATTTTCTTTAAACTAAGTCCCAAAAGAGTATTTTTTATTATATTTTCATTTTTAAAAATCATATATATTGTGCGAAGTTTTCCGCCAGAGGATAAATTTTTGGAAGGGGTGATGAATATGTCAAAACAAATATATAAAAAATATAAAATGTTTTCGGAAAAAAGTATTTCACATTTTACCATGGGTTTAGCGCACAGTAGATATATAACTTTCTATCACACGTCAACCAATTGTAGAAAGTTCTCTTTTTATTATGGCCACATATAGCCAGTGATAAAAAGTTCCCTTTCTACTATGGGCCCATATAGCCCGTAGTAGAAAGTGTCTTTTATCACGGGCTATAATAAAAGTGTCTTTCAATGTTTTTCAACTACGGGTTTTTTTTGGCCCGTGGTAGAAAGTGACTTTTACTACGGGCTATACGGGCCCTTGGTAAGCCTGTAGTTAATAACCACTTTTTCTGTATATATATGTGAGCATGCTTGTTCTCTCTACTTTCTTCAGCATTTTAATCTCATCTTAGTTTTACTTTTATAGTTAATTACGTCCTCATTTGCTCTTCGGCGAACCCAGATGGACATCTAGGTCATGTATTTAAAGGTGAAGGGTTCCATACTCCATGACAAAGAGCCCTCACCAGGCTCGTTCTCATCGTGCTAGGCTCCCTCTCTTTCCCCAGCAGAAGCTTCAGCCGCCATGGATGAATGTCATTGTGTTAATAGTATTTCACTCAAAGTTTCTTCCTACAGAATCTTCTCCTTGGTAATGGTATCTCCATTCTCTCTGTCTAAAACTTGGAAATGTCCTTGGAATATAGACCTGTACTTCGGGTTTGCGGGTATGGGTTGAATTCTAGGTTTTTCACCTTGCTGGTGTAGATTACAGTAGAATTTTGTATATGTTCCTTCTTTAATGCCTCCGAATGCAGCTTATGCCTACCACTAACCTTATGAATAATCTGCTTAACATTGTCATTTTCTTATGTCTAAGTTTCAAATTCTTGTATAATATCAAAATAGAGCTTACAATGTCCTGTTTGTGACTAAGGAAGAATGAAGATGATTTTTAGGAGGCATGAATAATATGTTGAAAATAAACTTGATTTTAGTATTTAGTATTTTCAAGTATTTTTGTATTCATGATGCATGTGTTAATTTAGCATGTTAGTGGGTAGTAAATTGTCTTAGTGGGAGTTAAGGTTATGTAAAATAAAGAGTCATGAGAGTTAAGCCTAACAAATACTATGTTAGTGGGAGTTATGCATATTGAATATTTTGTTAGTGGGAGATAGGAGAATTATGGACATTTAAATGTAATGGTTACATATACATATGTGAGGCCTATATATTCATGTACTCTAGTCAAATAATAGAAGAAGTGAAATAAAAAGTATTTTCCTCCATTTCTATTCTCTTCCAAATAGTATAGTGTTGTGTGTGTAACTAGACCACTATTTCCAACAAAGTGGTATCAGAGCCAGATTTCATGTTCAAAGCCAAATTTCATGTTCAGAGCCTAAACGATCCTGAAGGCCTGACGAAGTTGATCCTATAGAAGATTCAACATTTTGAGAAAAACATGTTTCTCCTCGATGATGTCAAAGGGGAGAAAATGTATTTTCTTAGTGAGAAGATGATGTTCTCTAATTACAGGAGAATGAGAATCATCATGACTTCATACCTCAAAGCATGTGATTTGTGGGATGTTGTTGGAGAAGAGCCAAAGAATGGCATGTCCAACAAACTTCGTGAAAAGAAAGAAAAGAATGCGTTTGTGGTGTTGCAAAAGGCAATACATCAAGAAATTTGGGAGTATTTTGGAGAGTCCAAAACTCCAAGTTGTGTTTGGAAGATGCTTGAGACCATCGTTTCCAATCATAGAGGTGAATCACTACCCATAGAGTATTGGGTACAATGCTTTGAGAATGATGAGTTTACGAAAGATGATTATGAAAGTCTTGAAGACAAAGTTGTGGAGAATGAAGAGGTGTATCATGCAAAAGAAGTTGAAGATTTAGGAGAATTTGAAATGGTGAATAAGGAAGAGGTAAGAAAATGTGTTAAAGAAGAGATTGAAAAAGTGAAGGAGGATGAAGTGAAAATAGAAGATTTAGAAGAAGGAAGTGCTAAAGAAGAGGCAAAAGTTCAAGTTGGTGAATTAACATCTTCAGGTATAGTTACAAATTCCACCTTGAAAGAAGTTATATTTGACTTATTTGATGAAATTATTATTTCTTCATATTCATTAAATAATGCTTATTTTGTGGAGAATGATGAACTTCTCTTAAAGAAAGTTGTTCCAAAGAAGTATGAGATTGAAGCCCAGGATGATAAGAAATTCTCATATTATTTTTTAAAAAATAGTTTGGAGAATTTTGAAATTGATACAGGTTGGGTGAATATGGAATTATTTTTTGACTCTAAAGAAGAAGTATATGTGAAGTTGAAGATCCATAAAAAATTTAAGAAGAAAAAAGATCGATGGTGTGCTTGTATAAAGAGGATGATATATGATTATGTGAAGACATCAAACAAGCATTTGAAGAAGTTTCACAAGCCCTACACATCAATGGAAATGGCCAAGAAGATTGAAGCTATTAAAGGAGGTGGAATTGAAGATCAACTATCGAACTTTTGATCAAGCCCCCAAGATTAATAAGAAGATTTTTCAAGTTACAAAATCAAGTTTAAAGGGGGGTGTTGAAAATAAACTTGATTTTAGTATTTAGTATTTTCAAGTATTTTTGTATTCATGATGCATGTGTTAATTTAGCATGTTAGTGGGTAGTAAATTGTCTTAGTGGGAGTTAAGGTTATGTAAAATAAAGAGTCATGAGAGTTAAGCCTAACAAATACTATGTTAGTGGGAGTTATGCATATTGAATATTTTGTTAGTGGGAGATAGGAGAATTATGGACATTTAAATGTAATGGTTACATATACATATGTGAGGCCTATATATTCATGTACTCTAGTCAAATAATAGAAGAAGTGAAATAAAAAGTATTTTCCTCCATTTCTATTCTCTTCCAAATAGTATAGTGTTGTGTGTGTAACTAGGCCACTATTTCCAACATAATATTATGGAATTAATGTGGGTATTTTTAGTGGTAAATCATGAATTGCCTTATTTTTCTAGAATAAAAAAAAAAAAAAAAAAAAAAAAAAAGAAAAGGAATATTCTTGATACCTGTGGTGGAGCCACGCACATCCTAGTGAGTGCAGTTGCACCACATACCCTTCCAGTAGATTTCTCAAACCCTAAGTCGGTATGCAGAGGGTGTGTTAAGCTACTTCGTTAGAATTTAAGTTAATCATACAACCTTGTAGCACTTATACAAGCAAGTCCTCATCAAGGCTAATTAAAATCCGATCGCCATCATCATCCGCAAATTTGATCTCTAACTTTTTTAACACTTCCTCTCCAAATTCACCTTTTTTTCGACAAAAAAAAAAAAAGGGAACTGAAACTTTATAATGTCTTCTGCTTAAGTTGTGTGAGTAACACAGGCCATAGGTTTCTCAGCTAGCAAGCATGAAGGGTTTTCCCTATAATCGAACACATTGGCATATACTTAAGAAGTTCATCAAGATTAATGGTAGCAACTAATTAGCGCATCTGCGATCTTTAAAAATATTTGCTTAGTGTTTACTTACATAAAACATATTGTTTCCTGCAAAACTTAAAGTTATTTCTTTCACTTTGAACATATTACATTTCAGTAAAAAGTACAATTAGGTCTTCTATTTGAAATACAAATGTATTTTTTTAAGACCGAACAAGTGGAAGACTCGGCAATCCTAGAGAACAGAATGGGAGCTAGGAAATAGAAACTGCTGATATTTCCGGCAGAAAAGATCAAAATTACATAAATACATATATTGTCTTTAGGAACTAGGACAGTGGATGCATAATCGATTGATACCAACACATAGTTAGGAACTTGCCTGTAGTCAGGCTGAAGGTGATATTTGGGTAACTGGCTCAATGAACAATTTGATTGTACCCAATGAATCGGAAGCACTCATACAATCCCGCAAGTCCTCGTCGCAGGCTATTAAAATCTGATCCTCACCATCATTTTGTGTGATATTATAAGTTCCAACATCTAACTTCAACCTCTTGAACACTTCTTCTCCCAACTCCACTATTCCTGATGTAGAAGGAAGTTGAAATTTTATCATAAAACCTCCAAATTTCGCTTTTATAGTTACTGCCCTTACTTCTTGTGTTGTTACAAGTGGAGTGATGTGAGCAACAGTAGCCAAATGACAACATGGAGGGTCTCATCTGGAGGAAGAGCCTTGAACCTTATTTCTCTTGCCTCGTTTCCCGCAGTGGATTCCAATCACTCTCAATCTACGCTTAAATGTAGATCTTGTCACTGCAAAAATAAGAATTCAACTAGAAAAAAATCATAATTTGTAAGGTAAAAGAATAAACTATTATTTATGTAAGAAGAAACTCAAAAGTTGAAAATAATATGAGCAAGATTACAAGCAACA